GTAGTTACTTTATAGTTTTCAATTCTTTGTTTGTCAGCCCTTACAACAGATCAAAGCCAATCTATGGATTTTTGTCCAGAGGATGAGGCTTTTCCTGACTTGTTACCTGCCTGAGGAATTGCATTAATTACCTCCCAACTCCCACTGTGATTTTTATTCCTATGGGAATAAAACTTCTCTGTGGTGTATCAACACAGTCACTAGTTACTTTATAGTTTTCAATTCTTTGTTTGTCAGCCCTTACAACAGATCAAAGCCAATCTATGGATTTTTGTCCAGAGGATGAGGCTTTTCCTGACTTGTTACCTGCCTGAGGAATTGCATTAATTACCTCCCAACTCCCACTGTGATTTTTATTCCTATGGGAATAAAACTTCTCTGTGGTGTATCAACACAGTCACTAGCCCATACGGGTATATACAACATAATACTATATATTTGCTTAATAAACTCTAAGTAGGTTATGTGCTTGTACAAATGAAGGTATTAGCTTGATCTTATCTAAGTGCTATTTTTCATTAATCTATTTATTCACATTTTTATTTTAAACAATCAGAGAATACATGATACCAGTGGTGAAGAACAAGTAAATAATAGATCAGATAACGTGTATTCATCACCAGAAGTAAATGCTTGGAATACTGTAGGTGCTCTCCCCCCCCCCCCCCAAAAAAAAAAATATGGATCAATTACTTTCTGCAGTACCTATTAGGGATAGTATTATCAGATCATGTCAATTGCCTGTCATTACAGCATTATGGTGGTGTATATGAATTATAAAACCCCAGCTCTGCAGAAGTCCAGTCAATTATTCTATTCCACTTATTTAATCATGGGTGGTGTTGCTGGCACATGCATACGGATTTTCTTCTGGTCTGGTTCACAGAAGAATGCTATTGGAAAGAGGCAAATCTTACAGCTTGAACTGAAAATGTCAAAGCTTGAACTGCTCCTGATTTCTATTGGAAGGATGTTCTAGAATGGTGATCAGGCTGTTTTGAAGACACTATTTCACTTCCTTCAAATAGGTAGCTGGACTCTCTTAAACCCATTGAGCTAGATGATCAGACCTCACAATTTGGAATGCCTCTTTCAGTTGGGTTTTGGTGGATGATGTGGTTCTGGAGTCTGTTTGATCACAAACAGAAATTCTGTTTCGCTGTAACCTCTGCCTGACCTAGTCAATGTGTTGGATAGACATAATGAGGCAACTTCTATGTTAAGCTGCATCAGCTTATCATGGTGCCCAGGTTGAATAAGTGTAACAGAGCAGAAATAGGGCTATACTATAGAGAGGAAGGCAAATAAGCATGAACTGTTTTCAGGATTTGAAAACATCAATGACTGAATTTCTATCAGCTCATTTATTTAGAATCAGAGAAATTTCTTTCAGTTGGTGAATGCTTGCTAGTGTCATGTAAGCTAAGTTAACATGTTGCTGCACAAGCATCAGCCACTGAAGACACAGAGTCAGAGTTGCAACAAATGCACAATAGGTACACTGCATGAATGACATATCAGCAGCCTTCTCCTCTGTACGTCCGAGCTGAAGACTGTCTCTTTGCAAAGACCACTTTGTAAAGAGACAACTTTTCAGAGGAAGTCTGCTAAGCTAGTGCACTTACTGTGTACTTCCTGCCAGGCAATCTCTGTCCAGGTCCTTAGTGGCTGATATCCGTGAGAATTCTTGGCCATTGGATAGAGGCTCTGGAGCCTTTTACAGAGTATGAGAATTATGAGTTTCAGTCACATTAATATACATCAGTGAGTCACAACTTGTAGATCTTGCAGCAAACAGCTTGGTTTTAGTCTCATTTTTATGAGTTTCTTACTCAACCTAACAAGGAAACACTTTGCATTTTCACATTAGGAAGTTAGAAGTTAAATATGCTGCCATGCATATCACTCTTAGTTTGCTTCTTTTATGTCTGAGATCCTAAGGGAGTTTCAGTTCATCCTCCAGCATACTAGAGTACTCCAATGTGTTGCAAGAGAAGACAACTTATAGGGCCCACTTCTCATTTACCATAAGGTCCCTTTACTCTACTGTGATAGAATATATAACTTACATCTCTTTCGTATCAGTTGTGCAGCATTATACATTTGTATCAGTAGTACAGTGTAAAACCTTAAGAAGTGTAAAGATTTGTGTAAATGAGAATTTTGTCATTTAGACTTCTTCCCTCCTCACTTAGTTCTGGTACTTCTCAATATTTCTTCCATTATTTTGCTTAGCCTAGAAATCAGACTCTCAGCCTCTGGCTATTGATTGCCAGGAACAGACATCTTTCAATTTTTTGAAAAATCAGTATTGGTTTTGCCTATCTCCCTGCTATTCCATAACTCTTTTCAAATGAATGCTGTGGGTACACAAAGGTCATTTGCTAATATTCATAATATTCTAGGATGCTGCAAGCCCTATTTTATGGTCTCACAATGGTTATTAAGAATCTGTAAAAAAGCTGTAAAAAGGATGATCAAAAGTGATACAGAGAAATAATTGACTGTTACAGTAGGTTCTGAACTAGGTTCTAATGATGCACATCTACTACAGTTAGGCACAAGTCCATAGGTCAGCTTCGCTTTGGAATGACAATACAGAAATGTTTAAGAAAATGCAGAAAGTGTTCAGGTCTGATTTTCCTCGCCATACACCAAACTGTTGTAACAGAACAGAAGAAAATATTGCAGAAGGATTTTGATTCTAAAATGTAAATTAAAGCATTCTTGCCATATTGTGAAGAGAGATAGCAAATTCAGTTTCAGAATTATCTGCAGGTTTAATGAATAATGGCTTTTGTTTGATAGCCCATAGGATCTGTAGTTCATCTGCATAAAGTATTCATTTCCTGGCCTGTGAAAGCCATTTCACATCCAATATGATAACAAAAAGAAGGGAAGAATGACCTTTCATTTATAGTATTTTCCCTTTAATTTCAAATAAAAGTAGCACACTGTGGGCTTGCTTCTCTGCTGATATGAATGCTGCAGTTCAGCTGAAATCAATGGCACTGTCACAGCTTACACAAGCTGAGGATCTGGCCTTAACTATTTAAAGTATAAACATGTCCTATACATTCTGTACTAAGTCGGTACATTTACCACTCAGAACTGTCCTTTTAAAACTGCCCAGAACAGAGCTCTATGAGATGAGAGATTGTCAAACAACCATCTTTTTTCCCTGATTGAAGCCAAGTTTTAAAGTCTGCAAAATGTTATTCTCCTGCTGATGAAGAGGGGGAGCTGGTTATTTGAATCTCTGTTTATTTTAAATAGCCCCTGCAGGAGCTTCAAAGGATACTCTAAAAAAATAGCGAAATTCCAGTCCACTTGTAAAAGAAGAGCAGTGACTTTCCCAACAGATTACAATTATGCAGTGCAGCATTTTTCTTGGACAGCAGAGTGGAAACAAAGTGTCAAATCCTGCTCTTCTTTCAGTAGTCTAAATCCACAGTTGTCTATTAATGCCAATGAAATTATTCTAGATTTACACCACTGTGAGCAGAATTTGACCCAAAAGGTCTACATACCTCCTAACATGGTGAACACCCATAGGAATGCATGCAAGTCTTGAATGAAAAAGGATTGTATCTGATTTCCATCTGCAAACATAAGGGTTGTTACTGAATTTGAGTCTAATCTCTTTCTTTCTGTTGAATTGCTACCTGTAATTATCAATTTCAACTATCTTGTAGCCCTTTCCAACCCTCACCCAGCTGAATCCAAACTGACAAAAAAGCCTTCCAAACACAAAGGCCTCAAAACATGACCCTCATTATATAATCCTTCCCTCCATGCATCTCTCCAGGGACATTCTTGGAGACAAGATCTCCTGGATTATAATAAAGGAAGAGGTAATTTATATGCTGACCATTTCCCCGGAACCTATATTGCTTGACTGAGAGAAAGGAGCTTTGCCCCACCCTACACTAGCCTCCTTGTCCTTGACACCTAAACATTAGCCTAGATTTTTCCCCAGATACTGAAACCATGGGACCACTTCCTTTCCCTTCTGCCATTCCCTATACTCTAATCTGCTCCAGAAAACCTGGAAAGGTGTATCCTGGCCTCTCAGATTCTCTGCTTTGGCCTTAAAGGGCCAATATAGCACTTGCCTTGATGTTTTTCACTAGAAATAAAAAGCCTAGGCAAAAATAGAACTGATCTCTACCAGTATCAGCAGTAAAAGGACAGTGATGGAGCTATAGCTACCTTTTAGCAGTATGGACAGAAGATTCTGAGCTCTTAGGGGTAGGTAGCATTGGAGGTACTTCACTTAGGATGCAAAAGGGATGCAAGACACATGTGGAGATTGAAAGCTTCCCCAGAAATTCTCTTGATTGAAAATTACTGAGAGGATGAACAAATACTACAGTAAAAATCACTGATATCTTCTCTTTCCTTTTGGAACTACACCAGTGACACAGAGGCATGAAGATTTGCATTAGTGAAATTGATTTTATTTTTAATGGAAATATAAAAGTCAAGTGACTTTCCAGAGAGTCTTTAATGAAGTAATAGTCTGGCAGCCACAAAAAGTTCATATTGACTTTGGGCTATGTAAGGTCCTATACCAGTACATTTTAGCCTTTAGAAACATTCACATTCAATGCAAATAGAAAAATAAGAGTTGTCCTTGTTATTTGTGTGCTCTTTAACATCCAGGAAGTTTAATTGGGTGATGAGTTTGGAAAAGTCAATAATGCATTGTAACACATCAGCCAATGTTCAGCCA